CTAATTGACATGGTCACAGGTCCCATTCTGCCTTCTGTGTGATAATGTCCAATCCTATTGATGGGTTATTGAGATCCTGGACATTGCACTTTCAGGCTTTTTGTGTATACTCTACAATCATGAAGTAAAGAATACAAAATTCCTAATATCTTAATTGTACAGTACAGGACACGTTTTCATAGACTATAAGTCTTACCTAATCTATAAACTGAAAACTGAAGGTGGGCAAAAACATTCCAAACTGAACTGTCATCAGGACCACAAGAAAACAAGGGTTGGAAAACCTGAAAAAAAATGTCAGATGATAGCTTGAAGCACCTTGTGGCCAAAGCTTGCCTCAGCTAGGGCCCTAACATCCACCTGGTAGAATTTGAAAAACATGTGAAAAGAAGACCAGTTGGTGGCCGTGAAAATCTGGGAAGGAGAAACATGGAGATGAGTTGCCTGATCCACCTAGCAATGGTAGAATGGGATGCAGAATGCCCCCTATCAATGTACAGTATGCCATCACTGAAGTGGAAAGAAGACACCACCTAAGGGTAGGAAGGAAGGGTTTTGATCTCAAAACCACCTTGTCCTTCTGCCAACAAAAAAGACCTCTTCAATACTTTCCTCTACAATATTCTCAAGGAAAGGAGGTTCTGCTTCTGGATCCTGAACAGAATCAAACAGAATAGAGAATCTGTAGCATTTTCAGATCCTGGAAAGGTTCAAAAAGCCTTAAGATTTTCAGAATTTAGACACAATGGCAGAGAAATCTGTTGTTGTCAGATAAGCCTCATGTTGCATGAGAGAGAGCCAGAGTTAGATAAAGGGAGCACTGCTTAGAGTTTCCTATAGGCCTCTCACAGAATGCTCTTTCATCCCAGATTCCTTGCGAATTTAAACCACCACTGCTATGCAAGAGGATCCCCAGTGGGGTGGATACAGTTATGAAGTGTGGGATGGATGTGGTTTTGAGTTTTTGGGTATAGGATCTGCTATAACCCAGGCATTGGCCAGGTTTCTGTGGCTGTCTATCTGTAGCAGATGGCAGCAGGAGTGCAGCAATGTGCTGTTTGAGTTTTGAGAAAGGTAGAAAGGTGTCATGCAGAAGGCGTGACACAGTAACTGTATCCTCCTGAGACAAAGTCTAAATAGGAGGAGAAAAAAAACACAAACTATTGCTTCCACCAAGAAACATTAGAGGCAAAACAGCAGGGCTTACCACAATAAAGTGAATAATATACAAATCCTCTGTCTGTAGAACTGCATATTGTGCTATGGACTGCAGACTGTGTTAGTAAGAGGAACCAATGTAATCATACTTATCCACAAAAACTGGACCTATTATAAGTTCAGGCTCCACCCATCACAGTGGGCATACCATAGAAAGAGTCTTCAGGGTCTGGGAAATGATAGAAATGGGCCATGAGCCTGGACCTGTATAGCACCCTACGGCTAACTACTCACATTGCATTACGTGCAAAGGTTAGCACCTAACACAGTATACAATGCCTGAAGCAAATATTACAGGCTGGAGTCACATGGTGCATTCTGGGTATGGTTCCCAAGGTACATACCGCAGATATCTGAAAAACTGTTAGATAGCCCAGGGCAGTAAGCAGTTACCTATTGATAGATGTTTCAGAGAAAAAAAAATTTAATGTTGAAAATGCTTCTCCATGGGAGAACAATTCTATTGCCTAAGGACATTAGCAAAAAATGGAGTCCCATGGAGTGGGTGAGGTTATTTGGTATGCTCTGAGGACGGCCCTAACAAGCTTTTTGCCAGTGTCTAATCATTTAAAGGTAGCTGCATATAACCCGCGGTCTATAAATCCTGTGTACTATACTGTATGATTAGAATAAAATGTTTTTATACATATATTTTAAATAAAGGTAGTTTCAATTATTGCAAACTAGGTAAAATGCTTGGTGGCTATGATAAAACCTTTGATATGGAAAAATAAAGGGATAGCTTTTGCTGAAAGTCAGAAAGTTCTATAAAACAACTGAATATTATAAATATGTTTTTCTAAAGTATCTTATTTAAACTTGTTTTGATGTAACATTATAAACAAAAGGACAATCATGCAGTCGACCACTTGATAACTGGAAGCACCCCAGTTGCCTGATTATGGAGAAAATAAAATGGTCAACGTCAACCACCCTTCTGCAGGCACACGCTGCAGGTACTGTAAGTCCTTAACAGACTGATGACTAGGAAGAGGAACTGGTTCCAGTAACAACTAAGAATGGATATCTTCACTTACTATTATGTCTGTCAAGACAGGAGGTGAAAGGAAATCTCCTCAGTCAGACACAAACAGCAAAAAAAAAAAAAAAAAATAACAGACATTTTAGCCATACTTTACTCTATCCAAAACTATAAAACAAAAGTTTTCCTTTAGATATACTTTAAGAAGTCTAACAATATTTGGACCCAGAATTCAAATGTTTATCAAAAAAGAATCCATTAGAAAAATATGTGAACTGTGGGTGAAAGTTGTGTGAATCTTGTGTGAAAACATTGATAAACACCTAAGTATTTAACATATTACTTGGTAGCATTTTCTTTATGCTTTGACCCATTAAAAATATAACTTGCTTACCCTGTGCTGTAGAAGATTGGTTAGATGTTAACTAGCAGCTGTTGCTACAGGAATCCCAGAGCTTTGGGAGTTGTCTTGTTGATCGTTATTTGAATAGCCCATTCCATCTTCATTATTTATAGTCTTCTGATTTAGGGAAAAGTAAGATGCACAGAAGATGAATATAAAGAGGAGTATATGAAACCAACAAACCTATCAAATAAGTCACGAGTCTTCAAACTTTCTAGGCAAAGGGCCAGCTTGCGGTCCTTCAGACAGGGGGCCGGACTGTGGCCATTGGCAGTAGAAAAGGTCCCGAAGTCAGTGAGGAAAAAACAATGACCCATCTTTGGCGTCAGTGGGAGCAATAGTGCCCCATCATTGGTATCAGAGGAATTGTGTCCCATAAGTGGTGTCATTGAGCCCCATTGTTGGTGTCATTGAAAGGAATTGCATCCCATTATTGGTGTCATATGAACGAATAGTGCCCCATCATCGTTGTCATGCAGGGGACAATTATGCCCCATCATTGGTGTCAGTGGGCCCCATACTTGGTGTCATTGGGAGGAATTGTGCCCCATCATTAGTGTCAGTGGGGGGAATTATGCCCCATTGTTGGTATCAGTGAATGAAATAGGGCCCCAAGGGCCAGATACAAGCAAGCAAAGGGCCGCAGTTTGGAGACCAATGAAATAAGTCTTTAAAATCATATATCATAGAAACTCTTCTTTCCTTCCATCCTTTCTTAGTTCCTCTCTTCCTATTAATGCTTCTCAGTCACTGACCCAGAATAAGCAGGCAGATAAGATTTTTTACTTCACATTACTGATTTGCAAGATTGTTCTAGACTATGGACTCTGTGTGCTGGGTCACCTTCTTGACTGTTGGGTGCCAATGCTGAACAGGGGCACGTCAATGCCCCAAATACTGTAAATGAATCAAAAGAACTGGCGGAACACCATACCTTGTTAGAACTTTATTGTTCCAGGCAACACCACAAAACCTTGCCTGGGACCTCTTCCTTGGATGCGTTTTACCCAATATTAGGATTAATCATAGACGTCTCAACTGTTTCAGCCACATTTTGGATGAAACCTGTCAGAGAATGAGATCCCAGATAGAGTTTTTGTTGTTTGGAACAATAATGTCTTACCTACAAGGGATTCTACACTGTGCCACTGGTTATTTTTTCTTTGATTTTCAAATTAAGGTCAACAATGACATGCTGAAATGTTCCAGTGATACCAACATCCCTGGTGGAATGGGCTCTGAAAGAGAAAGGAGAAATATGGAGATCAGTTGCCTGATCCACCTAGCAATGGTAGAATGGGATGCAGAATGCCCCCTATGAAAGCCTAACTGAGGTCTCACCTGTTTCAGCCAAATTGTGCGTGAAACCTGTCAGAGAATGAGATCCCAGATAGAGTTTTTGTTGTTGTTTGGAACAATAATGTTTTACCTACAAGGGATTCTACACTGTGCCGCTGGTTATTTTTTCTTTGATTTTCAAATTAAGGTCAGCAATGACAGTCTTCAGATTGCTCTCGGTCTAGGGTTCCTATTGTGAGAGAAATATGTATACTGCTATAGCTGACCTAGAACAATTATGTAGGAAGGGAAGTCAGGACTCCTGTGTTCCATACTTGTTCATCATCATCATTTAGATCAGCAGGACAGCTAGGCAACTACCTTTTGTCACAAGGAGAAATCAGCAATGACAAACCACAGATTTTTCTTAGCAAATATTTACTGTGAATGTACTCATTTAAGGCTCCTGTAATGTCAAAAAAGCAAATAGTTAACATTTTCATGTAGTTATTTACCTTTTCTTCATTTTTTGTATGCTTGAATTTTTTCTCCTTGTAGTAGTTCCGTTTAGGAAGGACATGCAATAACATTAGGTCACATACAACGGTTGCCTGAAGACATAAGAAATATCAACCCACTCAGATTAAACAAAAAAAAAATAAAAGCTTCATAAAATATACTTCATATCAAAATGTTTCCATTTGACATTTCTCCTCTCTCATGTTTGAACTTTCTCCTGCAGAATATATGTTCAGTTAGGTTATATGGAGCCTTTCTAAACTACCTGTCAAGAAATTGTACATAACAAAAGCATTGCTGAGGAGCACTAAAGCTGCAAACCATTACTCAGCAGAGTATTTATATAAAAAAAAAAACTAAAACAATTCACCCAGCGAAAGTGCATATACATTTTTTCTGTGTGAATGGGGCAAAAACCAAATGCTGTTAGACTGTCCTGTGCTAGATGGCTGTTTACCATTGGTTTTAACCACCTCCCGCCCACTATATAGTAATATGACGGGCGCAAGGTGGTTCTCTCGTTCTGGGAGGATGTCATATGACGTCCTCCCATTCTCACTGCGCATGCACGGCTCAGGGAGCGCGCAGAGCAGCAATCGGTGGTGCTCTGTGTCCCTCGGACACAGCGGACCACCGATCACGGAAAGAGCTGAAGATGTTGGCTCGGTCATGTGATCAGCTGTGTCCAATCACAGCTGATCACATGTAAACACGGAAATGCCGCTTATCGACATTTCTCTCCTCTCGAGCTGTCATGCTGACAGCTTGAGAGGAGAGGAGAGCCGGTAATTGGCTTTCCATGGAGGGGACATCTACACTGATCATCAGGGCACTGATGATCAGTGTGGCCTGATGATCAGTGTAGCCCCAGCAGTGCCACCTGTCAGTGTCCATCATTGCCTTATATCAGTGCCTCGTGCCAGTGCCCATCAGTGCCACATCAGTGCCACATATCAGTGCACACCAGTGCACATCCATGCCACATATCAGTGCCCATCTGAGCTGCCTTTCAGTGTCACCCATCAGTACCAGTCAGTGCCATTTATCAATGCCAATCAGTGCCACCTATCAGTGCTGCCAATAAGTGCCACCTATCAGTGCCAGTCAGTGCCGCCTATCAGTGCCAGTCAGTGCTGCCTATTAGTGCCAGTCAGTTCTGCCTATCAGTGCTGCATATCAGTGCCATGTATCAGTGCTGCCTTTCACTGCCCATCAGTGATGCCTGTCAATGCCCATCAGTGCCATCTACCAGTGCCTCCTCATCAGTGCCATCAGTGCCACCTATCAGTGTCCATCAGTGCAGCCTATCAGTGCCCATCAGTGCAGCCTCATTAGTGCACATCAGTGAAGGAGAAAAATCACTCATTTACAAAATTTTTATAACAAAAACTAAAGAAAAAAATTTTTATTTTCAAAATTTTCAGTGGTTTTTGGTTTGTTTAAGAAAAAATAAAAAAAACCCAGAGGTGATTAATACCACCAAAAGAAAGCTCTATCTGTCACAAAAAAAAAAAATGATAAAAATTTCATATGGGTACAGTGTTGCATGACCGCGCAATTGTCATTCATAGTGCGACAGTGCTGAAAGCTGAAAATTGGCCTGGGCAGGAAGGGGGGTATAAGTGCCCTGTAGGCTAGTGGTTAAACAAAAAATATTGCATTTGGCCACTAAATGCTAATAAATACCATAGGATTTTCCAATGATACTTAGCGTCATCTAGTAGCTAAATGTGGTATTTTCTGTTTTAAATCAATAAAAAAACATTTATCTAGCACAGGAAAAAGAATAGTAACATTTTTGTTTTCTCCATTTGCATAGAACCAAAGCATATGCACTTTCTCCGAGTGAACTGCTATGCATTTTTTAAAATAAATACACCCCATAAAGTATAACTAAAGGCACAACATTTTTTAGTTTTGGATAGAATAGAGAGGGATTAGAACACCTCTCAGTTTTTATTGCTGTCTGTGTCTCCATTAGGGAGATTCATCTTCTCTATTTGTCTTGTTTACTATTATATTTGAAAGTGAAAGTAAAAGAAAATAACAGATTTTGCGCTGTCCCCAGAAAAGTAATAGAGGGGACATCTTCCAATGGGGACTCTATTTCTGGCAACCTGGGGGTCCCCAAGAGATTCCCTTAATTTGCAAGGATTTCCTCTTACTTCTTGTTTTGGGTATCTCGAGATCTGGGTGTCTCGATTGCGGCGGAGGATTGGTGTAGGGCCTGGGGGATGGTGGCAAAATGTTCATTCAATACAGTCACTCTTGAAGCAGCCTACAAGTTCTTCTGCGGTGGTACTGGGTCCCGGCTTGGACTGCTCACTTTAATCCAACTGGAGGAGATAGGTGTTTCTGGAACTGTGGTCTACGCGGGGACGTCTTGCACATCTGGTGGTCGTGCCCGCGATTGATAGGCTTCTGGTCTAGGGTTTTTGGTTTTCTACAAACGCCATTTCATATTATGGTCCGTAGGGATGTAAGGGTGGCCCTCCTGCATTGCCCAATTTTGGGTCTGTCTAGGTCTCAGCAGAAACTGGCATCCTACCTATTTATTTCGGCCAAAACGTGCTATAGCTCAAGCTTGGAGAACCCCTTTGGTTGTCTTCCAAGGGGTGAAGACCCGGATGAATGATATGTTGATCAATGAACAGATATCTAGCATTCTTCATGATTCTCATCCGAGATTCCTTAAGATTTGGGAACCTTGGATACGTTATTCCTTGCCATCCCTGCCTCCTACTAGTTATGGCCTCTTATAGTCGCTGCCTGTGCTAGCCCTGGATCTGTGATTTTTCTAGTTTCTCTTTCCTCCATGTTTTCTTTCTGATTTTTTTTTTTTTTTTCCTTTCTTCTAACCTTTATTCTTTCCTCTTCTTTTTCCGGTAATATGTTGGATTACTGCTGCTAACATTTGCTTCGGCTTTTTGCCGTCCATCCTTGATGTCATTGGACATTTCGTTATTTAGCTAATACAAGTCAGCAGGATGTATCTGTTTATGTGTTATTGTTCTGCTCTGCCCCTGCGTGGGCATATCTTGAGCTTGTTGTATTCTTAAAACAAAACTTTCTTAATAAAAATATTGAAACAGAAATATATATTGTTCACTTGCAATTTTATATGTTTTTGATGAGGAGTTAGCGCACTACATTTATTTGTAGTTTATTTAAGTTTTACCTTAATCACACCACATTTATTTCCTAGGACATTTCTGTCTTTAGAAGATATCCCTAGTTTTGAATACTGATCAACTTCAAAATAAATTTTCACATGATTTGTGGTTGATAATACCAATTCATGTGACCTTGGATTTTAAAAGCAACAATTTTGAAAGAGTGCTACCTCTAGAGCAAAACAGTATTAAACACCTATGAACTTTGCTATGCTCTGAACAATTATTGGATTATTTGTGAATATATTGTATGATCAGGTCATCCTCCTACATCAAAGTCCCTTCTAGTTAGTTATTAATTTTTTTACCTTTTTTTTCTTTCAATTTTTACCATTAATATATAAACTTTTGTTTTTTGCAAGTTTTTGCTTGCTTTTTTATGCTAATAATACACAATTTTTAAAAACACCTCCATTTAATTTGTAAATAGCTTAGCTAATTCTTGTACCAGCACCACATATTTATAGGGGACTATATATATATATATATATATATATATATATATATATATATATATATATATATATATTTATTTATTTTTTTTAAATCACTGTACTAGTATGTCAATCATTTGCACAGGCTCCACAAATCATCACCATAATTTTCCTAATACATTTTTTTCTAGGATCCCTGATGCCATTTAGTGGCAATAATGCAGTATTTTTTTCCTAAAGTACTAAAGTGCACCAATTTAGAAAAAATACTGCATTATTGCCACTAGATAGCACTGACAATTGAGTAAAGGGAATATATGTATTAGGAAAATGATGAATGGTTGACATAATCACAGATCATTTTTTTTTTATAACTAGACCCAGTGTCATTTAAAATGAGACAAATCAAAGAATACAATTTGCACTTTAAATTGACACTACTAGTAGTTACTACTACTACTACTGTTGCTATTTAGTTTAAACGTTAGCACTAATTGAACTACATTTTTCTATTCGTTTTTTAATTTTTTTTGTGTTAAAAATGCAAAGAAAAAAATAAATCACAAGCAGGAAACCTTGCTAAGCAAGTGTTGCTTGTTCCAAAAACTGCTATATGTATTACTTCAAAATGATAAATACTGACAAAGTTTTTCCCAATTTAACAGCCCCATAGCTGAAATGTAATAAATACCTTCATAATGGGCATAAATGGATAGTTGTTGAAGTGATTCAAATGCAACAGGTCAGCTGTATAGTGTCCTTTGGAATACTTTATAATAGACCAATATGCTAGTGCATTTTGTTTTGGCTTATCCTCTAAGTTCAGACAGTGTCTGTTTCATAGCTGGATGGTCAGCTGCTTCTTCAGCCTTCCCCATGAGTATGAACTGTTTTCAACACTACAAGACAAGAAAGCTGCAGAAATGATCACTGCCACAGCAGCAGACAGCATGCTACTGACAGAATAGGCTACTCAGATGTAAATCTTTAAATTTGTGTTACAAGTAGAAACAGATCTGTTTGCAATATAATCCTGTACATCAGCTTCATCTTTGTATATTACTGAGCAGGAAGAGTCTACATCTGGTTTACTATTTATTTGCAGTACTACTTTGTACCACACGAGGTCACTGTGAATTACTGCACCAAAATGCAGAATACAGAATATCAAGGGGACTAAATGTAGTTAGACAAGACCCCAAAATATAACCAAGGTTAAAAAGGAACTTTGCAACTCTTTAGTTTGGATTAAAAATGTCTAAAAGAGCTAAATGCAAATAAAGAAAAGTAATTAATTACAATATACACAATTTTAAACTTACCACTCCAAAAATACCAATTCCTGAGCCTATTGTTGTCATTGTTGGGATTATATTAAATTTTCCTCCCTGAAATGAACATAAAGCTGTCTTAATGTTGACTCTAAACTGCTTGACATTTGAGCTATGTACACTTATAGAAATATGTCTGTGACTCAAGACAACTCAGATAATTACATTTCCCAGAAAGTGAATTTGATGGAAAAATAGTATAACTGCTACTACTAAACTTTATTTATAGGCGTACCTCGGTTTACGAAAGCCTCCGTTAATGTAATTTACAGTTTATGAATGAAAATTCATTGAACATAATGCCTTGGTTTACAAATTTTTTTCACAATATGAAGAAGTTTAAGCTTCCCACCTGGGAAGTTTGTAATGCCGCCCCCTGCCTTTAAAGTGCACTTTATAAAGAGTTGAACAGATAAGACTTTTTTTTACTTTTTTCTGACCTCCGGAATGGATTAATTAGTTTTTTCAATGCATTTACAAATTAATTTTTAATCATGTACCTGTACAGTATTTATGCCTTTAAAGTGCACTTTACAAAGAGTTTTGAACAGATAAAAATTTTTTTTTTACTTTTTTCTGACCTCCGGAACAAACAGATTAATTGGTTTTCACTGCATTGACAAATTAATTTTTAATCATGTACCTGTACAGTATTTATGCCTTTAAAGTGCACTTTACAAAGAGCTTTGAACAGATAAAAAACATTTTTTTTTTACTTTTTTTTTCTGACCTCCGGAACAAACAGATTAATTGGTTTTCACTGCATTGACAAATTAATTTTTAATCATGTACCTGTACAGTATTTATGCCTTTAAAGTGCACTTTATAAAGAGTTTTGAACAGATGAAAAACTTTTTTTGTACTTTTTTCTGATCTCCGGAACGAACGGATTAATTGGTTTTCAATGCATTCCTATAGGAAACCCGCGTTTCGGTTTACAATTTTTCGCAATATGAAACGTCCCGGAGAATGAGTTCAATTCATAAACCAAGGTATGCCTGTACATGGCTTCTTTCAAAACATAATAAATACAGAATAATCAAATGTAAAATACAAATAATTGACCAATATCTAGTTAAAACAAATCAGTTAGCAATAGTATTACAATACATATACGTTTTTAGGATTCTTTTTGATTATGAATCTGTAACCTTGCATTACAATTAGACATGATGCAATCCAGGAAAGACATATGTAGATAAAATAACAGATGATCCAATACTGACCCCTGAGAACCTTAAAGT